TTGGGCTTCCATTCAACAATTTCTACACAAGTGTTCAGTGACATTGGTTACATTCTTCACAATGTTGTGGACATTCTCATTTCCGTTCTAGTTGTTCCATTGAAAATTTCTTTTTAAGTCATATAAGTCCTTGAAAGCATTTTAATACTTCTAACTCCCATTTGGCTTTTTTTAAAGTGTTAAGACACCCCCTTTCCCCCAATAATCAAAACACCCATCTCTTTTTGAGCTGAGGCAAATTTTACTACGTGATGAATCTGACTGTTTATCCATGCAACAGTCTGCTAAACACAACCTCCTTTAATCCACTGCACTGTGGACGGACCAACCACCCTCGCATTTGTCATTGTGACAGGTTGTTATTTACGTGGAAGGGCAGGTCATTTAGCTCCTAAAGGAAACTCTAAGGTACAATGTTAAAACATTTCAGGCAGCAAAACTGGCTCAGGTACTAGCTTAAAAGAAAGAAAAATAAAGGTTGATTTCCTGTATTTTTTGACTTAAAGACCTACCCCTAAGAGGGCATGATTTCTGTTGATTTTAAGATCAAGTCACTTAAGTTAGCAGTATGCAGTTTTAACTGTGATTGTTGGCATAGCTAATAATGGGAAGAAGTGGATTTGTCTCTTAAGCGTGAGAATAAGCTAAATTAGCTCGTGAACTAAGGTATCACCCTGCAGTTTTTTCACTGGCCTTCTGTCATGTCCCCAAGTGATAGGCAATGTCATCTAATGGCAGGGCCTGAACAACACTGTGGGAAACTTCTGCTTTATCTACCTAAATGAATAAGCAAAGTTAAAGGTCGTTCAGTTGGTTCTAAATATAAGTAAGCGTGAAGATGACCTTTACATTCCTAGGCCCTATCCTGTCATTCTGAATCAGAATTTCCAAGGCTGGGGGGCCCCCAGAGTGTGTACTTTTTTTTTCTTTTAAAGAACTTTTTAAAGCCATGGAAGTTCTCATTTATCCTGCTGGGACTGTGCTTCATCTCCATCAAATCCACCGGAGTACCTTTGGAATGAAGGCCCTCCTACGAAGGTCCACCCCTACCTGCAGTGACTGAGGTTGGGGGCTGGTGGTAGGAGGAAAAAGCTCCCTCCCTTATGGGATGCATGCAAGGGCTCCAATTGCTGTGCCCATGACAAAGGGCACTGGGTTCCTGGCCCACTCATAGCTAGAGTGGTGGCTAGGATTTTCTCCCCTCCTATTTTTTTTAACTGCACAGAAAACAATAAAACAGAAAGAAGTTTTAAAAGGGAAAAATCACCACAATGCCAACATTTGGAGACGTCAACCACTTTGGTTTTTCTATTTTCTTCTACAGTCTTTGTTGTAATTATGGCATTCCCATTATGGACCAAGCAGAAGTTTTGTGAATGGGTTTAGGAACCTAGCTGTCCCTGGCTTTATAATGTCCACAACTAAATGCATTCCAAGTCCTAAACCAATTAAAAATGAGCTTTTTGTAGGCCCTGAGGCTTAAAAGACCTGGGTTTGAAACTGAGTCCATCATTTACTAGCCAGGTAAGTTATTTAACACCTCTGAGTTTCAGTTTACTTCTGAAGCAAGGAGTTGTTCTTGTTAGCTGCTGTCGAGCGCTCCCCGACTCATGGGGACTTTGTCTTAGTTTAGAAGCCCCACTGAAACCTGTTCAGCATTATAGCAACATGCAAGCCTCCAAGGACCAGATGGTGGCTTCCCATGAGGTGCACTGGTAACAGAACCTGGGTCTCCCTCATGGAAGGTGAGAATTTTACCACTGAACCACCACTGCCCCAGAGCAAGAAATGTCTGAAACATAGTATACACTAATAAATGTTAGTTTTTTTGGTCTCTTTCCATTATATTCTAATGACACCTCTAAATTTGTTAAAGGTGTCTAAGCTTTCCCCCATAAAGTTAAATTTTGTTTTCTCTTAGTATCTGAGACATAACGGATTACTTCCATCAAAGTCCCCTGTCCCTCCCACCCCAAGGAGCATCGTGTTATTGAATATTTAAATTATCTTAAGTCTCATTTCCAATTCAAAACATATTTTGAAATTTTATTTTTCCAAGCTGCAGCAATTTTAAAGACAGGAAAAGTATGTGTACAACACGTTGGTCAGATTTAAACATTAATGAAAATGCAAGCTGCTTTGTGCATTGTGGTTGAGAGGCCAGCTTTTCATTAGACTCCTACTTTCACGAGGGGGACAAGGGAAGTGGTGGAGGCAGCGGTCTACTTTTCTTCCCAAGGCAGTGTGGCAGAGGCTGTTCGTTGTCCCCTAGATCCTACTGACCTTGAAATCCCAATTCTTAGACACATGGCTGCCCATTATAAAGACATTTATTTCCCAGCCCCCCTGCAGCTAAGGGTGGCCATGTGACTAAGGTCTGGTCAGTGGATGTGTAAATGATGTATACATTCTTCCTTTTTTTTAAACTTTTTTTTTTAACTGTTGTAGTCTAAATGAAGTTTACATTTCAAGTTAGTCTCCCATACAAAATTTTATACATAGTTATGTGACCCTAATTTCTCACCCCATTCTGCGACAGCATACTCTTCCTTTCCGTCCCTGATTCCCAATGTCCAATCAACCAGCTCCCAACCCTCTCTGCCTTCCCATCTCACCTCTGGACAGAAGCTGCCCCTTTGGTCTCTGGTATCTACTTGAGCTAAGAGGCACACTCCTCACAAGTATTACTTTATGTCCCACAGTCCAGTGCAATCCCTGTCTGAAGACTTGGGCTCGGAAATTGTTTTAGTTCTGGGCTGACAGAAAATCCAGGGGCCATGCTTTCTGGGGTTGATGTGCACCTTCTGAATTGTACCTTAATAGGAAGGAGCAGGTGTTGCCCTTGTCTTTTCTCTCTTCCCTTTGACTTTATATGAGAAAGAAATAACTGCTATTTTGTTTAAGCCATTATTTTGGGTAGCAGCCACACTTATATCCTAATGAATATAATGAATGTATATGCTACTAAGATAGTGTACATTGTCTTGAGTGCTAAGACTCAGGGATTTTCTGATAAGGATGAAGAAAAAAAAAAAGTACAAGTAAGAAATGTTCAGCTTAGGCCAAGGAAATTTGCAAGCCTCCTATACATAAAACTTGGAACCATGAATGGGCAGATAAGATTATGTAGTCAGACAGACATGAGTTTTACCAAGATTTTTAAAGACTGTTGTCCAGTAATGTATTAATGGCTCTAATGTACAAAAATAAATGTTTTATATGCATATAAATTCACCACTTTCATATGCAGTTTAGAGAATAAAGGTATGTTTCCAATCCCCAAAGAATATCTGTTAAAAGATTCTCATGGTACATATAAAATGAACAAAAGTGGTACCAATTTTTCAAGTAAGATGCTCATCACACTTTAGATAGGTATTTAGTCAAGGACCTTTGCAGGAACTGATTAAAAAGCTAAAAGGGTTCTAGAGAGTGTAAGAGGGGAATATCATTATTATTCTTCAACCATAAAAGAAGTTACACCCATTTTCAGATGTCTCCAGTCTCTAATTTGAATTTATAAATAGATCAATCAGTGATACAGTCATTCCTGTAGTAACTAAAGAACAGGTATCCACAAATAAAAAAAGTAGTAAGCCTGAAAGTCAACTGCATTTTGTAAATTACCTTTTTTTTCCCAGAAGATATCTAGCACTTACTAAGTAATTTTCTGGTACTTTTAAAACAATTATCCTGTGGCCATATGGCATCTATAAAATATTACTGACCATAAATTACAGGATAAAGAATGCGTTTCACTACTTGGAAATTTAAAAGCACCATGAAAACTCAGAAATAATCATTCACTTTTCAGGAAAGTTTCACTGAAAATAGCTTTATTTTGGAAGGCCCAAGTTACACGTAACACAGAAGCCACTGATTTTGAAGGCTGCCTGAAACAACTGACACGAAGGGCAGTCACCTGAACAGAAGCTGAGTTTTGGTGGGACCGTGTGGCAGGGGACGTGAGCGAGAAACTGAAAACATCAGTCACCGATAGAAAAGGAGCACACGTCCTGGTGGTAAGCGGGACATGGTCGGCCAGAGCAATCTTACCTATTTCTAGGTGCACGACTCTACCAGGTAGCACCACTGACAGCATCTGTATAAGACCATGTCAAATACATTTTTTTTAAAAGAGAAAACTGTGTACACTGTTACTTAAAATACTGTTATGCATATTTTTCTGTGATGTAATGATCAACCTAGTCTTTAAGATTCTGAACAAGCAGAAAGCAGTTGTAATCTGAAAAAGAATGAAAAGCAGATTTTTCTTTTTAAGTTAAACTAATCAACCATGTTAGCTGAAAACTACCACGTACCTACCAATATGCTCCTTGCCATGCTGCTTTGGGCAAATCTATCACATTTCTATCACTTAAAGCAATACAGATATAAACACACTTACTTTAACATGGATAATCAGTTTAACTTTGTGTGGATCAAACACAAGGGATTTTGTGAGCCAAGTATTAAGGTACTATAAAAACAGAGCCGATCTTAAATGTTTTAGAAGATATTACATAGTCATGCAGATCATACTGAACACATCTACAGTCTCCTAAAACCTACGTTTTCTCACAGACTGTGCTGATAGTGAAGGGTTTTCAAGTATTAATAAAAATGGTATAAAAATTCCTTTCAAAGGAATTCAAATATTATTCAAGTGAAGAAAAAGGCTTAAAAACTAAGTCTCATGAGAGTACATACTGAATAATTTCATTTATGTAAAACTGTAAAAAATGCAAACTAATCTGTAGTTCTGGAAAGCAGAGCAGTGGTTGCCCTGGGTCTGGGATGAAGGGACGGATGAGCTGCAAAGGAGCAGAGGGAACTTCTGGGGATGATGGGAATGTTCTGTATCTTGATTGTGGACATGGTTTCTCGAGTGTATACATATGTCAAAACTCAACAAATTGCACACTTTAAATGGTTGCATTTTATTGTATATAAATTATACCTCAATTTAAAAAACAAAGAATATATACATACAATGGAATATTATTCAGCCACAAAAAGGAATGAAGCTTTGATACATGTTGCAACATGGATGAATCTTGATAACATTATGCTAAATGAGAAGTCAGACACAAAAGGTCACTTACTGTATGACTGCATATATGGAATATTCAGAAACAGATAAATCCATACAGACAGAAGGCAGATTAGTGGTTGCCAGAGGCTGGCGGGGAGGGGAGATGTCAAGAAACTGCTTAATGCGTATGGGGTTTCCTTTTGGGGTGATGACAAATGTTTTTGAACTAAATAGAGGTGGTGATTGTGTAACACTGTGAATGTAGTAAATGCTAACGAATTGTTCACTTTAAGATGGTTGATTTTAGGTTATGTGAAGTTCACTTTAATGAAAAAGAAAAAAATACAAAGGATAAGATAAAAATGCAAACAAAACAAACCCAAAAAACCCCCAAACCAACCAAGCCCCCTCTCTAAACAAAAACCCAAAGCTAAGCCTCACTTTCCTGTAGAGTGGAGAACAAGTCTTCCAGACCAAGCCTCACAATACCATTATTTGTATTTTCATTTCTGGCACACATCTTTCAGCTGAGGGGGAGGGGGATGGAAGAATGAAATACTCCTCCTCAAATAAAGGGATGAGAAAGTGGAAGCACCTCAGCATTTTAAAACGCAGTATGGCAAAGTTGTTTAGAGCATAGACTCGGGTATAAAAGACACACATGTGGGTTTCAATCCTGGCTTTGTCACCATCTCTGGAGTGGTCACAAAGCCCCTGTGCCTGCTAGTTAGAAGTTACCTCATGTTCCCCTTCCTTTGTCTGCCATTCAATTTAAAACTTTTCCTACTCATCTTCATGTCATGTGCTGATAGTAGCCAAAGTCCTGATGCATGAGATTCTACCTAAAACAGATAATGATGGAAAAGCAGACTCAGGCACACATCTCTCAATCTATTTTCCCAGCTGTAAAATGGGAATACCATCTAACTACTGTGGGACTGAAATGGACACATAACTTGGCATCAGCCACAGCAGAATGGCTTATTGTAGGTGCCCAGCAAATATCTGTTAAAGTAATGAGTGAATGAGTGGATGGGATTACTTCAAGGTAGAGTTGGTGAAGGCAGAATGTGTGTATATGTGTAGGCTGAGAGAGTAGTAAGTTGACAAAGGAATAAAATACTTAATACAACTTAGAAATGCTATAAGCATTTGCTGGTAGAGAAATACCAGTTTTCTAATGAGAAGAATCACTTAGCAATGTATACCATATTGTAATTCATACATGTCAGGATTTATACAAAATTATGAAGAGAACCCATTTAACCAAAAAATTTGAATTGGGAGGAGATAGTCTGTTAACTGGCCACTCACCCAGCCTCTCAAAAAGCATAATTATGCTGAGTATTATAAGAATACATTTGACTTTTTATTAGATTCTGCGTAAGGTAAACATACTGCTTAAGGAGAATGCCTCACAGCTTCTTTGCTGACATAAATCATTTACCATTTTTACGTACAAATTTTGAATTACAATCTGAATTTTATTAAAAACAAAAATAAATCTAAAAAAGGTTCCTTCAAGTACACATTATGCATAAGAATTTCTGCATTACATCATCTTACATAAAATGTTCTGAATGACATAAGTAGGACTTACTACCATTTGAAGCAAAGAGAGGGGCCGGTGGCCGAAATCCACATACACATAACAGAAAGAGACGAACATGCAGGTGAGGAGGAAAGGCCTGTGATCTGTGGCTACAAGCAGGAAGAGCTGAAACTAGGAACATGAAAGAAACTTGGAGAAAAAGACATTCAGTACTCTAAAACACTTCAGCAAAAACAGTTGAACATTTGTAAACAACTTTTAAACAAACCTCTTCAATATGCTGTATTGGTATATAGTAAATATTCTTAACTGATTTTTAGTTGACTCAATAAAGCTACTTTTACTGTTGTGGAGTATTTGCCCCTTAGATTAGGTAAAAGCTTTGCTTTCTTTCCCTGGAGGTAAGAATAAAACGTAATTAGGGCTTGTTCAGGGATTGTTTGTGAATTTCTCAGGCTAGGGCCTTGCGCCACCTGGTTTGCTTGTTTGCTATTTCTATCCCAAAATAGGTTTAGAATAAATGGTACAGCCAAAATTAATTTAAAAAAAAAAAAAAATGTTGACTCCTTGGTGACATCTCTCTTTGAAGGTTTGACAGGCAAGGACACTGGTGAAACTGGCTGTGGATTTCAATTATCCCCAGTATCCTTTTCTCAGGATTTAAAAAGTTTGAGATTGGCAATACAACTACTTAAAAATAGAGTAAGGCTCAATTGCACTTAACGTCCAGGACAACTACAGTACTGAAAATCCCAAGGAACTTACTGTAAACAAGCAAGCAACTGTTCAACAGCCTTTTGCATTTGGTACCATTACATAAAGCTACTATGTTCTTCCATTTACTTCTTCAGATATTTTTATGAAGTGACTGCATGTAAAAATAACAAAAAATAAATCTTCCTTTGAAGTGTGTTATGATAGAGCAAAAACACATTCATGACTAGAGATAAAATCTGAAATCTCTAATGCTAAATTCTAATGGAAAAATCAAGCCTTAGCAATCCTCGCTTGGACACCTCATGCTCTGAGACAGTAGAAAAGCCTCTGAAACTGACTAGGTCCCTTCTGGTGGAGTGACACATGTACACGCAAGCAGCAGTGCTCTGGATGAGTTACGCTTTCCCTTAGTCTCCAGTTATTTTCTGCAAATTTTATTTTACTATGAATATGTTGAGCCCAATATCAGTTTCAGCTAGGTAATCAAATTATTTGGGAATTATAAACTTATTTTTATTTAAATGAAGTGATAAAAGACAGTTAGTTCCCAGAAGCTTTCTAATAATAGATTTTGAAGAAGCTAAAAATGACACAGTTTAGTACAAACTGTCCTTTACCTTTATTGCTTGTATACATAAAGAATACATTATAAAACTCACTGGGAGGGGGAAACATAATGGAAAAAAAGGTTACCTGCTTTAGCATTTTTAAGAACAGTTTTGATAACTTCTTAGACCAACTTGCTTATCTGAAATAGAGCAAAACTACAACACAATCATAATTCTACTAATCACAGCAATTACGCTTTCACTTTTTGTTTTCTCTTCATAAAACATTAATGCTATAAAAATGAGGTCAATGACATTTAAAAGACACCTTGTATTGGTATCAAAATGTGATTGATTTTAATGCCAACTGAAAAAATAGAGCTTCTATAGTGTATTATTTCAATGAAGTTTTATTATTACTTTAAAGTTATTTTTAAGTTGGTAGCAAAGTTACTGTTAACAATATAAATTTTCTCTTTGTAAGTGCTGAAATATTCTCTTAAGTGTTGAAAGGCAGCAGGCACTCTTGGAGAGCTTATAAGGAAAATAAATTATCCAAATATCCAGGATAAGTAGGATACTTGATTAATTTACATTTACTTCTTTGACTGCCTTACTAGCTTTTCCTGATAACCTTGGTATCTTGAGAAGAAATGAAGCCCAAGCCTTTTAACTGGAGCAAGTATTTCCATTTTCCCCTATTTCTCTTTAGTTTTTCAAATACACAGTAAAAGAATCCAATAATCATCGCAGGAAGGAATGATTATTTAAGCTGGATCATGTTCATTTGCCTTTTAATTTCATTTAAGAGATTAATATTAGTCATAAAAGCTTTACAGTTTCAACACACATCCACACAATCACAGAATCAGAAATCTTTACCCCTTAAAAAAGAGACTTCCATTTTGTTCAATGTATCACAGTTCGATTTTAGTCTAATGAAATCAGATAAAATTGCTTTCATTAAATACAGCAGCAACCACTTACCTTTAAAGATTTTATGGATGGAACTAAGTTCAGTACTGATCCAAGGATGCTGGCATCAAGACCCTCACTTTGACTATCCCTAAAGGTTCTACATTTCTGTGATGTACCACCAATTATTCTAGAATTACAATACCCTGTCTTTAAGTTGGTATATACCATATTTGGGGAAAAAAATTATTAATATTTTGAGATGAGATACAAGAACAAAATTATTCTTGAGGTTTCACTTCTAATATGGGGGAGGGGAGACAATGTTTGCACGGAGCAGCTAGTTTGACATCCCCTGTTGTTGTTAGCCTAGCCTTCACACAATGAGCATGCATATACAGCCACAGTTCACTGCATGCGTTTTGACATTAAGAACTGCTGCTTATTCAAGTCACAGATGCCCCCATGTTATGCAATGAGACATTTGAGTTGCATGTCCACCATGAGAATAGGAAAATAAACGATGAAACAAATGCAGCAAATAGAGGCGGCTGGCATTCAGAAGACACCAAAAAAGCGAACACTCATGAACTGTCATTATAAGGGCTTTTCTTTCCTTAAAAAACAAAAACAAAAACCAAAAAAACCAACAGTCTTTCTTTGCATATTTTAAAATTTAAGGGTCCCAGAGAATCATGAAGTGCCTTGTCGTTTTTGCTGCTGACTTCTGATGACTTCTAGTTGTTTTTTGCATTGCTGGTAGTAAGTAGAAAGGCTTTTGTTTTCATCTAAAAGCTTTTTATGTTCCTGTACCAGACGAGATGTATTTTGCTGGTCCTTTTCATCCTGGTCCAGTTCTGCAACTAGTTCTTGCCTAAAAACAAATATCACATAATAAAATATTACATATGATGGAAAAATTCATACCTTATTAGCTGATGATGGAAGCTCAATTAGTTAGAACTTTTATTCTGGGTATATTATGCATCTTAGGTACACTACTCACATTTAATTAGGAGTGAAATGGAAACTATCATCTACCCTCTAGTGTTATCACACAAATACCATAATCCTTTTAATAAGTAACTGTACTTAGACAATTAATGAAACAGATTAAATGCTACAATAAAAGTTTCAGAAATTTTCAATTGGTACCCTCTCGTGCTAGGTAGGGAGAAAAAGGCTGGAAAATGTTCTAGTTGGCTACAGAAAAATAACATTTGAAGTTTTTATCATTCACATTCTACTTTTATACTCATATTCTGAAGCCACAATCCTAATTAACTACAGTGCAAAGTTGTAGCTAACAGAACATTTGCAAGCTAATTAAAATAGATGCTATCCAACTTCAGTCTCTTTCCTATTTTAAAACAGTAAGAACAATCCAAACTACTGCTTTTAAATCACTCACTTCTGCAAACATTTTAAAAAAAGACACAATCAGAATCTTTTATAGTCTGGTGAACTTCTTCAACTCTAAATCCTTTTTATTTGGGGGATATTAAGTATTGGCTCTTAAAGGGAGCATACTGGATATAAGTGAATGATGAATGAAAAACCCTCAAATAAAATAACTTTTTAATAACAGTCTTCATTTAAAATGGATTATAACTGTCATCATCTTCACATCCCTCCCCTACCTCACCATTTATTTTTTTCTCCAACATAGGACTCCTGATTAAATGATTAAAGTATGAAAAACAGTACAGGTTAAGAATGTGAAATAAGAAATATAGTTTTTTTTTTTTTTTAACATAAAGTGTCAGCAGTTCCAATAATTAGTTCTATAATTTCCAGACAGGAGTATTCATTTCCCATCTAGCTTATCTTTAAGTTACAAAGTTGAATTCATTGAAACTGTTGTATCAGTAAACTGGGTTAAAACAATTTTCTTCAAAAATTTTTTTTGAAGCACTAAAAGAAACTTATTACAAATTCATAAATAGTTTTCATTTATTTAAAGTTAACAGAGGGAATTCTATTACTATATGTACATATAGTTGCCATGTTTTTCTCCTATTTCATTTTAGTTAATATCATAAATCAGCTTCATACGTATAAAATTTCATGGGGTTGTGCTTAAGAAAACTGACAATTGAAAACAAAAAAACTGTGAAGTAGTATGGAAATTGGACTATTTCTTAAAAAAAAAAACGGGTGAGGAAGTTGTTCCTAAAACACTCTGAGATAAAGCACTCCAGGAAAACATCAGAGGTATGAAACAAAGCCCTCTAATAAAGTAATTCTACTCTTCCAAACACAAGCCCAGAAAGAATGTCTACAACAACGTTTCTAAGATAAAGCACAACTGAAGATCAGTAAATCAAATTATTTCACCTATGTCCAAGGAAACAATAAATCTTTACACAATAAATCTACACAGTTTTTAACTTTAAAATTCTGAGAACATAAAACATGGTTATATATGATCAGTTTATTTTCCTTAGAACTAACATAATCTCTAGGTTGGAAATATACTTTATGACTAATTCTATAAACTGTGAAGTTTTCACATCTTCAAACAAAGTCATATTGTACTTTAACATATTTCAAACTTTAAATATTAATGTGTTTTTATTTTTAGTCATAAAAAATAACTTACTTTCTCTGTAACAACAATGCAATTTCTGTTTGAACTTTCATATATTCTTGTGCCATTTTACAATGCTGTTCAAACACTGCCATAGATTCTTTGGAGTTTGGGCATGGTGCTAAAGGCTGAAAATAAATCAGGAATGTTAAAAAATAATTAAATCAAATTCAATATCTAGCTAAGAGTTAAGGCAGACTGTAATATTAATTTTTTGTGGCACTAAAGTACGATTTTTAAAAAGTAAGTGTTAAACCATGCCCTAGAAAATCCAGTGTCCTCTTGTCAGAGTTAACTGAGAACTCACATTTACACTTCCTGTTTTAACACTCCTTGTTAGCGAGAATCACGACTAGAGTACCCTTAGCCTGTGATATTACATTTCAGGTTGCCAAACTGTTTGTATTACACCAAAAGATGTTTATGACTCTCATACTCATGAGGAGGTACTGAAGTGTATTAATTATATTTTAAGTCACTGTGAACATAAGAGTGTATCACAAAATGTATTAAACAGGAAACAGCTTATATGAGTTTCATATTTTAATACACTAAAATTGAAGAGTGAAAATGCTATGCTTAGTAGTCATGAACAAAGATAAAGCAGAGTACTTTAAGATGACTATTAGGAGAAGAGCATATGATTTTGCCAATTTTAAATGTGATTAATCTAACTGAAAGAATATTTTAACTTGGTTTTAAAAAGTTTAACAAGGCCAACTAAAAGCATAAATGAATATACAATAGGAATTCAACTGTCAGTTTTAAAGATAAACCCTCTAAAAAAGTAAGGTAAACATTTACTGAGGTAGTACTCCTTTACCTGTAGTTGGTGATCCAGTGTAAGATAAGCCATTGGTATGGAGTTATCTGACCCATTAGTATCTGGAATTGAAGCATGTATTATATTTATTTTGTGTCATAAACAATTATAAACAAAAAGCAAGAAAGCATGCATAAAATTTTGGTATATTTTCCTAAAGTAAATAACATGGAGACTATAAGTTACTGTTACTGGTAATGAAAAAAGTGTATTTTGAATTCTAAAGGTAAACAGAGGGCAGCCAATGATGCGATAATTAGAATGTAATCATACCTAGAATTTGAGTTGGCTATAAACTGAATAGAATCCAATACATTAAAACAGGAAAAGGAAGAAAGCAAGAGATACATTTTCTTACAGTGAATCATTTTCAATTTATATAGATTCTAATGTGATCACTCCCTTCACCCTACCCCTCCCAATGAGAGACACTGCAGAAAATGAGTGATGTTATTAATGAGAGTATATTACACATATGAACAGTATAGAAACAAATAAGGGCTTGTTTAGAACTGTGGTTCAATGTGTCTAATTCAAATCAGCAGTCAATTTTGATCAAACTATTTGAACAGACAGCTTTGTTTGTATTTCAAAAATGGAAAGACTGCCATAACAACCTGCATCAGAAGCATGGGATGGCCTTTTCCTAGCAGTAATGCTTACCTGGAACATCTCCAGAAGTAAACTGTGAAAGTAATATAAACCAAAATTTAACCTATTGCCGTCAAGTCAATTTTGACTCATGGTGAACCCATGTGTCAGAAGGGTTTTCTTGGTTGTAGTCTTTATGGAAGCAGATCACCAGGCCTTTCTTCCATGGTGCTGCTGGGTGGGTTCAAACTGCCAATCTTTAGGTTAATAGCCAAGCACAGCCGAGCGCAAACTGTGCCACCCAGGGACTTTATATAGATAGACCTTTCTATTTCAGAAGTAGTTGCCTTCTCGTTGTTAGTAGACAATAAATAAGTTAGCTGTCCAGCCCTTTTTCTGACAAGCAACTCCTTTACTGAGTAGTGTGGACAAAGGCAATGTCAGCAGAGGCACTACACTCAATCCAATAAAAAACTACGACAATGATTGCTCAGTAACCTTATTTATTATTGACTGATAGTCTAGGTTTTTTTTTTTAAAGCCAAAGAGAATGTGCTTGCAAATAACTCCAAAACTAAGCTAAATCAGATTAAATGTGATAATGCTTTAAGGAACACCATGCAGAGCTGACCTATCTTAAGCACTCAACTTGTGGTGGTGGTGATGATTACTGTTATTGTTAATACTAAATGGAGAATTAGGAAGAAGGAAGGCCAGTTTTAAATAGTCAAGTTTTTGTATTTCAGATTGAAAAGGTAATGTTTATTAAATAACTTGGAGTGAAACAATAATAAAGTATTGCCTAGAAGAGGCTTAAGGTACTTATGTAAAATCATATTCTAACACAGATGTATTTCTGAAATGACTAAACAAGAAATATACTTAACCCTCTCTCAACTCGCAATAGTAGTTTCAAACTATGCTCCCACAGAACACAGCTTTCCATAAAACTAACATTGATTAAAAATGATTTCCCTCTGACTTTATAGGAAAAATTAAGGAACCTGAAACATTTTCCTCAATTGAATGTTTTCACTCCTACAGCTCTTTCTTAAATTTTCTGATACTTGATACTTGATATATATATATCAGCACCCTGTATCTGATACATACTTTAGCAGAAAGTATAACATATCAATGTTTCACAGTATTTTGATGGTTGAAAAAAAATCCACGGATTCTGCTATTCAAATAATTAAAGCCCTTCCTTGGTGAGGAACTTAAGGTTCTTTACTGAATTTCAACCTTTCACTAAAACCAAGATGTGGAATTTCACTTTCTCACTTCTACCTATAGTTTTCTAGATTGAAGTTTAGCTTTTATCTGTAATACCAATAATTGGTCCTCAGATAGCAAGGTTATTCCATGAAAGTTCATTTTTTAAAAATGTTTCAATTGTTCAGCCTGGGAGTGGACAGCCCCGTAAAACCAAATGAGACTAACGAGGTACAGGAGTCCAGTAACAAGGGCCAGAAGGCAGAAGGGGACAAGGAAGCTGGTGATACGGAACACAAGATTGAGTAAGGATATAGTTGATGTGTTGTGAGATTGTTAACCATTGTCATAGGGCAACATTTGTAGTAACTGTTAAATGAGAAACTATTTTGTTCTATAAGCCTTCATCTTAAGTGAGAATAACAGCACAATTGGAAGAGCGTAGTCAATGTCACCGAAATGTGTATGTAGAAATTTTTGAAACGGTGTTTCTTTGGCTATGTGTATTTTCACCAAAAAAAAAAAAAAAAGGTTGCGAGTTTAGAGGGTTAATACGTTGTCGGGTTGTTAACCAATGTCATAAAACAACATGTGTACTACTGTTACATGAGGAAAAAAAAAAAAGTTTCAATTGTTGATGTAATTTAATTTTTTCCTCGGAATGTCAAGACTCACTTTGGTTTGGTTAAATTACTTGAAATTTATCTTTTCTGGCACATGAAACACAACACTTTCTATGACTGCAGACTCGTTAAGAATATGTTCGCTTCACACAGAATGCCTTCTTCACTCTTCTGATTTACGATTAAACTTCCATCAGTGTTTTACAAAAAAAGCAGGTACTACGTCAGGTCTTATTCTATTGATTTCTCTTTTAACTATTTAAACACTCAGCTTGTAACTGTTAATTTATTATTTTATTATATAACATGATGAGTTTATTTTTAATATTTCAGTATTATTACTCTAATCAGACTGCAAGCAATGGGCCATGTCTATTAACTCTATCTTTGCAAAGTACTAAGCACAGGCGGAACTCTTAGGAGTTTTTCCCCCCTCTGTAGCTCCCTCTACTGGGTCTCAGTATCTCTTTTACTGTATCTTCTTAGGTATGTATGTCCTTTATCCTCATTGTATTATAAATTGAAACTGAAGAGCACTTATTATCTGGTATGATTATTACACACAAAAAGCATACAGAAATCACTCCCCTTTTAAATAAAAAAAAATCTAATTAGGTGTTTTAATTTATACATATACATACATACATATATATATACACACACGCTTAATTTTTTCCTGGGTCAGTGGGCCTTCAAAGAAAAGCCTTTACCTATTTCTTCCCTTGCTATGAGTCGGAGTTGACTCGATGACAACAGGTTTGATGTTTTTTTTATTTCTTCCCTATAATTTATTCTATTGCTTGATTATCAATACTTTTCTCAGAAACAGTACAAAGCTGAACTTAATTAACTGTAAATGTAAACCAGAGACTCAATTATTAAAAACTGTATTCAAAATTATTTAAAAAGGATAACCATCCATTTACGATACATTCCAAGGCAAAGACAAAATTTAGTTGATGGTACTGCAACCGGGGCTTAGGTAAGATTTCTAGTTACTGGTATTTTGTGGTATTCTAGGTACTGCGAAGAAACACCAGACAGGAGATGGAAGCGTGGGGGAACACACAAAGTGGAAAGACAGCAGTTAAGTGAGAGGTTCGTCACAGAATTCGGACTTTATCCACATGAATCCCTTATCTGCCACATGGTGACTGGCATCATGATTAGTCTAGATTGAGCTTAGGAGGTTCTGCCAAGCTGAGAGACAGATTCGAGAAGATGCTGTTATTATTAGGCAGAGTATTCCTCACTGGAGGTTTAGGAGCCAAACAGAGATGATATCACCTAAAAGTTAATGACAAAATGTGGCAAGACTGTTTCCCTGTCTCCCAATGGGAAGAAGCATGTCTATGATGAATTCTGCACATGTGCTGGGTGGTGAATGCCCTGGACAATCCTAGCTTGGGCTGTGCGAGGGGTGAAACTTAGGAGTTTTTGTCACCACTAAATTTAAACTTACTAAAACTAGAGAGTACACCACTGGCTAAACTTAGTTCTAACTTACATGACACAGAAAAGCCACTCAGTTAATTTTTTAAATTATTAACTTGAATAAACCATGCCAAATATCTATAAATACATGCAAGCAGTACTTTAGTTTGGTAAAAACAAAAAGCTTTTGAATTTCAATTTAATTGCCACTATTAATAGCATAGCTGATCTTAAGTAAAATCCCCTATGGTTTAATTTTCCAAGGTCTAGAAGATCATCTTTCCCTCATCTGACTTAATAACACACCAAAAAATAGTTTCTATAGGAGTATACTGTTAAGTATTTATCAAGGTATTTTTTAATGTTAGGGAAAAGTTATTTCTACATGGCACATCATTTCCCGTTGGCCTATAATTAATATCCCATTACTATCTTCAGACATATTTTAATAACAATATTGTGACCGGTTATTATTTATGTTGGGGAGTTTTAATAACTCTTAACAGATTTTTTATGGTCTATTTGATAGAATATTTACATCACTGAAATGAAGTTCCCCTATCAGTTAGAAATGATTTAAACGACTCAATGGTCAGCAGTTTTTTTCTCATTAATGCCCATGATTAACTTGTGTCTTTAACATAAACAGAAATGATGATGATAATTTTTACCATTCTGCTGATTTTAGCATTTTAACAGATAGTAACTTTTTACTACTATCATCCAGTAGGATAGATCATAGTAGGAAAATCACAGACTGAACTATCAAGAATATAATGTTTCCTAACTGGAAAAAACCTACAACTATCTATCTTCAAAATACATGCTTAGAATCTGAGAAAAAATGCAAAAATCAAGGCAGTCTCTGTATCAGTATTCAAAAAGGCACTTTAAAATTTACTGCTATTATTATTATTAATACGAAAATCAAAATTACCATATAATGCCTGCCTTTATAAAGATTATACCAATGACATTACTAAATGAATGTAAATATGATGAATTCAACTACTTCATAATCAGAATGAGGAAATAAACTGGTCACCTGTGGAATCATCAGGCGTCCATGGATGACTTCGAGCTGGCTTTTCTGAGGTTGGTCCTGAGGTAGTGATCATTCTGACGCTAGGACTAGATGACCTACTGCTCACCTGTAGGAATAGTTTACAGGAGGAAAAAATATGATTACTGATTTAAAAAAATGACGAGAAATTTTCTATTAAAAGGCAAAGGACCGACTTCCATTTCTAGCAACAGAAGCCCAGAAACATTTTTGCAAAAAAACAAAACCTCGAAGAATAGTAGACATATATCTATGTATACATACACATACATATGAAAAATATATAATTAAAAAATTATATGCACTCACACACATAATACCTCCTAAAAATTGATGAGGTTGCAAGAAAGTAAGAAATACTCTGGACTAGAAACACAGCAGGATCAGGAGTCTAGTGAGGGCTTAAGCTGTGACTCCTCGGGATTTAAAATAATCACCAATGGCCCAGGGCTTTTGTTTTGATTGCCTGCTGCACTCAGAGGAATAGGATGGGGAATAAGACTGAAGAATCCCTCAGTTTAAAGCTAAAACACAGGAAAGGCACCCTTAGGGAAAGAATGAACTAAGAAAAAAATCTACCCCACAGAAGCAGACAGCAAGTAAATTTGTCTGTATTGGTGTTAAACTCTGGGGGGAGATGGGAAGATGTCTCCACTGTGAATCCATAAAAACATTCCCAGAATTGATGGAAAACACAACAGATCCTAAACACAACAAATCCCACATAGGAAAAATAAGAGAAAACCCACATATGAAACACACAGTCAAATTCTAGAAAACAAAAACAAAAACAAATAGAAGATAGTAAAAGCAGCAAGAGAGAAAAGATAGATTACCCACAAGAGTATCCGTTGGTAAAAGGTGAAAGAAAGATTTATGTAATCTGAAGAGAAACCAGAGCATATGGGCAACGGATACTGGTGTTGGTTGCACAACATGATTGATGTAATTGGTGTCACTGAATTGTACACATGAAAGATGCTGAATTGGCAAATGTTGGGTTATCCAATGGAGTACTATGCAACGATAAAGAACAATGATCAATCTGTGAAGCATCTCACAACATGGATGAATGTGGAGGGCATCATGCTGAGTGAAATAAGTCAATCACAAAAGGACAAATATTTTATAAGATCACTACTATAAAAACTCATGAAAAGATTTACACACAAAAAGAAACAATCTTTGATGGTTACGAGTTGGGGGGGGGTGAGGATGGAAAAACACTGAATAGACAACAGATAAGTGCTAACTTTGGTGAAGGGTAAGACAGTACACAATACTGGGGAAGCCAGCACAACCCGTACAACGCAAGGTCATAAAAGCTCCACAGACACATCCAAATTCCCTGAGGGACCGAACTGCTGGGCTGAGGGCTGTGGGGACCATGGTCTCGGGGAACATCTAGCTCAACTGGCACAACATAGTTTACAAAGAAAACGTTCTACATTCTACTTTGGTGATTAGTATCTGGGGTCTTAAAAGTCTGTGAGCAGCCATCTAAGATACTCCACTGGTCTCACCCCTTCGGGAGCAAGGGAGAATGAAGAAAACTAAAGATATGAGGGGAAGATTAGTTCAAAGGACTAATGGACCACAACTACCACAGCCTCCACCAGACTTAGTCCAGTACAACTAGATGGTGTCCGGCTACCAAGACTGACTACTCGGACAGGGATTACAACAGAGGGTCCCAGACAGAGTTGGAGAAAAATGCCGAACAAAATTCTAACTCACAAAAAAAGACCAGACGTACTGGCCTGACAGAGACTGGAGAAACCCTGAGAGTATGGCCCCCGGACACCCTTTTAGCTCAGAAATGAAGTTGCTCCTGAGGTTCACCCTTCATTTAAAGATTAGACAGGCCCATAAAACAAAATGAGACTACAGTGGCAAGGGGCAAGGGCTAGAAGGCAGGAGGGGACAGGAAAGCTGGTAATAGGGAATCCAAGGTCGAGAAGGGAAAGTGTTGACATGTCATGGGGTTGTTAACCAATGTCACAGAACAATATATGTGACAACTGTTTATTCTATAAACCAACATTTGAAGTACAATAAAAAAAAAAAGTTGTGTTATCTGTATTTTTAAAATAGCAACAACAACAAAGAATATCAGTTAGATTTTCAACAGCAAAAAGGGAAGCCGGAAGTAGAATGGTATCTTCACAGTGCTGAATGAAACTGCCAACCTACAATTGTTTAGTCAACAAAAATGTGAAGAACTAGGTCAAAATAACATTCTCAGATGAGCAAAAAGCGAGTTACCGTCCACAGACCCTTACTATAGAAATTTTTAGATGAGGCACTTTAGGAAGAAAAGATTTTCCAGTGGAAGAGTCGTGATACAATCAGGAATACTGGTAAAAATGGGAATAAATCTATATACCAACAATATTAAACAATGAAAACAATGATTAATTTATGGAGTTATCAAACAAACAAATTAACTAGATAGCACTAAAATTCTGAATAAGAATAGCATGTAAGAAAGAAGAACACTGACTTTAAAATTCTGTATTGTTCAGGATGAAGATAAAGATATTACGCTTTAAGTTTTATTAAGTTGTGCGTGAGGGTTAAAATTTCAAAGGTAATTACTAAAAGAACAGAAGCACAATATGTAACTCCCAAACCAGAGATAAAAATGGAATGAGAAATGTATTTATTCAAGAAGGCAAGAAAGGAAGAAAAAAGAATAAAGGGAACAAGAGAAAGCATAAAAACATAAGCATAAACCCTGTGGGGCAGTTCTACTCTGTCTATAGGGTCGCTATGAGTCAAAATCGACTCAACTGCAACAGGTTTAGTTTTTTTATTGGCTACGTCTCTGGCAAGACCAAGAAAGTGACACTGACACTCTAAAAAACAGGTAAGAAAGAAAAAGGGAACAAAACTTCAGATACGGTGGAGTGCAAATAAGAGAATATCATAAACAATTCTGTACCTAGTAAATTAAAAAAAACCTTACAGTAAAACGGACAAATTCCAAAAAAATATGTAAATTACCAAAACTGAATAAACATGCAGCAGCTGTATATATTATAGAAAACCAGGGCTCTGAACTAGTTTGAAATAGTTCAGTCATGGTCAGCCGAAAACAAGACAGTGTACATGTTGCATAGCAACCATCTTTTGCCCATCAGATTTTGACAGGAGTAGGAAACAGGCAGCGGTTCCTCGCACAAAGAAGGTGGCCAACTGCATGGCTTTGAATGTGTGTCACTCTCCACAGTCCTATCAATAATTTAGTCTCCCACATCAGGCTCCTGAAACCTTCAGATGATGTAGTGTGAAAGTTTCAGGGGCCTGATATGTGAACTTAGATTACTGGCAAGACTGTGGAGAGCGACACATTCAAAGCAGTGCAACTGGCTGCCATCTTTGAGCAGGGCACCTACTGCCTGTTTCTCAGTCGGGTCAAAATCCTATGGGAGAGAGGTGTTTGGCTGCTATGCAATGCGTATGCTGCCCTTACTTCCGTCGGCCATGACTGAACCATTTCAAAGCCCTGTAGAAAACACCAAGCCCAAAAGGTTTTAAGGTGAGTTCTATCAAGCATTCAAGAAAGACATTTCCAGTCTTAATTATTCTAGAAAACAGAAAAACAAGAACCACTTCCCAACTTGGAAGACAAAGTCTGAAAATAAATAAGAACCATATGAGAAATGAAAATTACTAACCAACCTCAGTTATGAAAACAGATGCAAAAATCCTAAAAAGTGTGTTGGCAAATGCAATTTGGAAATGTATAAGAGCAATAACAAATCAGTTCAGAAGTTGAGTTGATCCTAAGAATGCAAGGGTTGCTTAACATTTCTATCAATGCAATTCACCAAAATAACAGATTAAACAAGAAAAAACTCAACAGATGTATAAAAAATGTTGACAAATCTAACATCTATTTATGAAAAAAATATATTCAGCAAACTTAAATTCCATGTAAGAGAAGAGAATTTCTTAACAAAATGAGGAGTATTTTGAAAAGTCTGGAAACATGACATGTGGACTGTTGGGAAGATGATAGGGAGGCCACAGGGAGGAACACAGGGTTTGGTAATGTCCTATTTCTTAAGCTGGGTGGTGGGTTCATGAGTGTTCATTTATTATTAGGTTTCATAACAGATTACATATATTCTTGTCTATGAGTATTTCATATACGAAAAACTCTCAAAAAGGATATTTAAGCTAAAATGGGTTTCATAAGAATTTCTTTTTTAAAAACATCTTTTTTCTTGAAGTGCTACTAAATACCAAATAAGATACTAAAAAAGAGTATGGAGTTATTTAAAGTAAAACATAATAAAATATAAATTCATAAAGAATCTATGTCCAGTTTCAATATGTAAACACAGAAACACTCAAATTCAAGACTATATCAATTAAAATCTGAGGCAATATATAGTGGAAAGTACCCTTGAGTAGAAACCAGCAGAAGTGAGTTCTAACTGATGGTATAATATCTAGTTTCGGTCACTTCAACAAGTCTGTTTCTTTGTCTGGAGAGGGTTTGTTGCTGTGTGCTGCTGAGTCATTTCTGACTCACAGCGACCCGATATGATACAGTAGAACTGCCCCATAGGGTTTCCTAGGCTGTAATCTTTATGGGAGCAGATGGCCAGGTCTTTCTCTCACGGAGCCTCTGGGTGCGTTCTAACTGCCAACCTTTCAGGCAGCAGCTGAGCACCTAACCACTGTGCCACTAGAGGGGATGGGGTGGGTTAAGGATGTGACAACTTCTAATGTCCCATCCAACTCTAAAACTATGATTTTAAGCCTTGAAAATTCATAATGGATCAAGGAGACTAAGGGTTTTGGCCTTAATATTACTATTTAGTAAAATTAGTGGAAGGTACTTTTACAACCATTTTAGATATAAAATAATAATTTTGAAGAAAAGAAAAACTGATAAAATATTATTTGCAACTTTGGTACCTACTGAAAACCTAAAAGCTTTTCTCTATCATAAATAATTTTACACACTCCATCAGAATGATCTTTCCAAAATCCTAGTCTCATTCATGCCTCTTTTATACAGGTACCGTATTTCTCATGATGCTCATTCGCTTTTCTTCTCTCACTAACTCCTCC